GGCTGCAATAATAATGAAGGTTAAACTTACAAGCAGTGAGGTTCGCTTGTGAACTCAACCTCTCTACAGCAGACACAATGTGGTATCTGAGTACTTGCTAGAACTACATATACTGTGGGTTGGTTTTTCAATTGTCGCACCACAAATTTGTCTCTGAACCAAAGTGGATTTAACTCCAAAGCCATCAAATTTCTAAACTCATAAGTTCAGAATACCTTTAGAATAATATTTGTGTGTTTGTGTGCATAAAGAGAGAAAGTCATTGATTTTACAAGCATCATGGATGATAGGTCAAGAAAATTTGATAATTACTACTCTTATCTAATGATTTTACTTTTTAATGACATAGTAAGTTTGAAGTTTTCATTTAAATTCTGTATTAAAAGTCTACTATTGTACTAATTATTTTGCCAGCTTGATTGTGTATTATGCATTTTGGTTTGTAGGTGAACCAATTAGAAGAGGGACTATTTGCCTTAATTAACATCTGAATTTCTCTTCTATACTTTTTGTAGACAGATGTGGTAAGAAGTTAGAGTAACCTCATACAAGGAATTGGACTTTAGAATGTTTGTATTTTAATATTTCTATGTGTGGAAAGGTGTGATGAAAATTCTTATCTTGACTCACTTTCCTTAATTTGAGAAAACATCAGTTTTATTCTTTGGAAAAATTCTTACTTTCAGCACTCACACACTCTAACTGATTTTACAAGTATATGAATGGATTAAATGATTTTTGTATGGGGAGAGAGAAAATCTCTGCAGATCTAGTTATTTAAAAATATTCTGCTGATGTATGAGATGGTGCTGAAAAGTTCTCAAAATCAGTATTTCAATGACCAAACATTAAAACTTAGAGTGGGAGAAGATTAAAGAAGCTTGACAAATATGTCAGTTTTGTTGAATATATGGCATAGCACCTCCTCCAGATCATTCTTTCTGGATGACCAAAGAACTTTGTACTGATAATGAATGTGAGAGAGAGGGACCTAGGATATTATAGCCTCTTCTTTTTATTGACAGGATTTGTTTATCTTGATGTTAGTGATTCACTTGTAGAACAGTATTTAGTGCATTTTTCTTTACTTAAAAAAAAAACAAAAACTTCTTGGTATTGTATTTAAATCCTCTCCTGCATTGAAAAAAAAAGTTTCCTTCAGAATGTTCAGATTATGTGCATCTGAGTGAAATCTAACACAATTTGACCAGACTGACATTCTCAAATAAGAGGAAAGAGATAAAAGCCAGATTTACACTTTGATGTTGCAAATCTAATAAATAGACTGACTGCTGAAACTTTAGGGTGTACTGTAAAGACTAGCCAGATGTCTTTACTGGCTTTGTCAGCTCTATTTTTAATGACAGAACTAGTTTAATAAACATCATTAACAAATCTTCCATGTAGTTCTGGGCTCTTAATTTTATATACTTGTAAAATTTATGATACAAGAAGATGATAGATACTCTTGATATGTAAAGAGTCATTATTATTATCTAACTTTTCATTATATAAAGCATTTATAAAAAATCTTTGGATATTACTGCTTTGTTTGGTGGAAGATATTTCTATTGGCTGTTCTCAGGAAAAAAAAAAGAAATTCACATTGAAACTAATGTATATGTAAGTAAGAAATATCATTTTATAAACAACATATCTCAGTTATACAAGGGATGATAACATTTCCTTAGTTATTTTCAAGGCTGATAATGATATATATTGGATTTGATGCCTAAACCAGCTGCAATGCCACCCACCACTAATATTGAATCTGCTATTTTTTCTGTATCCATAAACTCACTTTTTCACAGAAATTTTTATAGAGATTAGTTATTTTATTGGTTGGCTTGTATTCAGACCTCAAGTTGAGCAAGTTTTTCACTCAAACTCCTTTTACAATTACTTTCAGTTTATTTGCAAAATCTATTTTGATGCTTCACCCAAACCTGTGATTACAAAAAAAAAAATAAAAAAAAATTAAAGTTTTATAATTAATAAAAACTGATTGCTTGTAAAAAATAATTTGCTTTTGCTTTACTCTATCAATCTTCTAAAACCTTTTTGTAACCCAATTTGTGATCTGCATAACCGTTCATTTGCTGCTTGTAACAATGTTAGTACCAATAATAATAAAAAGTAGACTTGGACTCTTTTTATTCTGTTATTAGTTCTAATCCAGAACAATTATCTGAAGGCCCAAGGGAAGTAAGTAAATGGAGAAATTAAAATATTAGCCATTGCGACTGTGACTAAAAGTTAAAAAAATATTCCACTAAAGGCCCTTCCTGGCTACAATGTTTAAAGAGAAAGCATCTTTACCAGATGAGCCAAACTCTTACCCTTTACTATTACTGGGGGAGGGTATTATTATTACTATTATTATTATTGTTGTTATTATTATTATTATTATTATTAATGCTAGCAGCAGCACCTATCGCTGTCTGGTTGGTCATTGCTTTAATACTCATATGTATTTCCTTTCTGACTGCTTTTCATCTGCCTCTTGCAGGCCAGAAGCCTATCATTGGCACAGCAACATGATAGCTTACCTAAGTGGCAGGAAAGCCATTAACCATGGCTGCTAAACGTAGTGGCCAGCTTTGCAAATGCATTTTAACCCAAGACAAACATGTACTCCTTTAGAGACGACACCCCCTCCCCACACACACACACAGCTTACTATCATTCCTTTCCCTCTCTACTTATTTTCTCTTTTCTTGTTTGTCCATCTATCCTTCTCTTTCAATCGTGAAAAAGAGAGGGTATAAGATTAATAGGGCAATTTGGAGAGCAGAGGTTGATTAAATAGATGAGTTAGTGTGAGAGAGAAGAAACAGTAGGAAAAAAAACGATAAAGAAGGAATGTATTTACTGGCAGAGAAAGAAGTTAAAATTGAAGGAAGGGCAGATGTGTGGGGATGGAAGATGAAGGAAGGAAGAGAGAAAAATAAAAAGTAAAAAAAAATCGAATAAATAACATAGCGGAGTTGGCGAGGTGGAAAGAAGGGCGGGAGCAGAGAGAAGAAGACAAAAAAAATAAACATTAAACCTAAAAATAAAAAAAAAGAATCTAAAGAAAGCAAATAATAAAATAAGGAAAGAAGAGAGAAGAAAAAAAAATATTCCTAAAGAAAGGAAAACCATTTCTGAATCCTCATTACTGTCTGGCGAGCTCACCCAGCTTTTTCTTTCCGTCGTCTCCCCCTCTTTTCACTGTTCTCTCCCTTGGTGTTTATAGCCTGTCACTTTCTGCTTCCCCTCATCCTTCCATACTCGACACTGCATATCAGATCTCACTTCTTTGAAGCCGACCCACTTCTCCAGCACTCAGTCTCTGGACGATTTCATTGGTCCATTTTATAGTCTCCCTTTCTTTGACTGTCACTTAGCGAAAGCACGTGTTCGGCTCATTAGTATGCACATCTGCCGACAGTTTAAGAAAACCGGCCGACCAATCAGCACTTAGCACTGCCTCCTAGATCGGTTCTGTTATTTCGAGTGGCTGACTGAAAGTGTCAATCATCTGTCAGGTTCTCTTCGCTTTCTACAACTGCCCTTCCCTCTTTTGAATGCCCACCCTCTTTCTCTGCTCTCTGCGTTTTTACGTCCCTCCTTACACTCCGTATTTCTGCCTCTTGTTCTCGCTCGGCCTCTTTCTGTGTGAAATGAAACCTACATACGTACGTACGTGTGTGTGTCGATTTCTTTTATAACTAACGGAAGAAGTCGATTCTTCTTACTCTCTCTCTCTCTTTTTCTTTCTTTCTGTTTCTTCTCTGTTTTGGTTACTTTTATTGCGTTGCTTTCCTATCCACTTTTGTCGCTCGTTTCTTTCTTTTCGCTCTTCTCTATTTATTCTTGTCTCTATCTCTCTCGATTCGCTCTTTTCCTCTTCACAGTAAACTGTTCTATTTTTACTTGCTATCGCTCTCTTTTTTTTTTTTCTTTCTTTCGCTTTCTTCACCACTCCGGTCTCACCTTTTACTCTGTCCGTTTCTCTCTTACTCTCTCGTACCACCTGGTTTATCGTTAGGATGGTTGCAGTCCTGATCAAGTAAAGGTTGTTTATTTTCAGAGCAGTCCCAGATTCATCATGCATGTTAAATCTCCCTGATGGAGCTGGCGGTGTTGGTGGAATCAGAGGAGTCGGGTAGTGCCGTGGGAAGAGGAGGAGGAGGAGGAGGGCCAGGTGGGTATAGGAAAAATGGGTAGGGGTGTCGGAGAGAATGGTTGGTGGGGGGCGTTCTGGCTGCCTGTTATTAAACATTACTCGCCATCTTATTAGGAGCAGTTGATTGGCTGGGGTGGTGGAAGGAGTGTAGCTGGGGAGGGGAATGGCAAATCGGTGGGTGTCGAGGTTGGCGGGGTTAGCGAAGAATCGGGGGGGTGCGGGTGAGGAAGTCTGGGAGGTTTAGAACCGGGCCGAGAAGCATTCCACGGTCAGTAACGGCTGAGATGACTGACACTAGCCCCAGGTCAGGGGAGTGTTGGTAGGGGGTGCGGCTAGAAAATTGGCAGTGCAAATATCTTAGCCACCGACCGATGGTCGTGGTTGGGGAGGTGGATGTAGGCGATGGCGGCGGCTGGTGTGATAAGGGGGGAAAATGGCGAGGCGAGGGGAGCTTGTGGGTTGTTGGTTTGTTCGGATGGTGTGGTTTGACTCGGGGTGGTTAGATAAGAAGGATGGATGGATGGTCGGGTAGGTGGGTGTAATGTCTAGGGGAAATGAAAGAGACCAGGCCATTTCTTTTTCATTCGACCTTCTCCTTGTCGCACCCTTCCTACCATTTTTATTTTGTACTTCACGATCTCTTTCTCTTCTTTTATCTTTTTACCTTCTTTTTTCTTCTCACTACCTCTTCGTCGCATCAATTCTTTTTTCTCTTTTCTCTTTCTTCTCCTATTAAGTTTATGGTTGTTCTCGCCTCCTCCTCAAACAATTTAGCAGCTTGATCGGCAATGATGACTTAGATTCTTGAAGTGAATCTGTGAAAGAGAGAATGTTTCTTTATCTTTTTCTCCTCTCTCTTTCAGGAGAAATATCGACTTCTCTTTTTTTTTTCCCTGTATTTCTCTTCTTCTTTTTTTCTTTCTTTTGCACGTGTATATATATATATATATATATATATATATATATATATATGTGCTTCTTACGCAAGACACACACAGGCACGAATAAAAATGATCACAAAGGAGTAATAGAAAAAAAGACAGGACACACACACACACACTAACTCGACTGTGTTTATAATTGAGATGAAGTGAAATAAAAGAGTGGGAGTTGAAAGTGGGGTGAGGGAGAGAATGTATGAGTCCAGTTTCTGGTAAATAGCTCGTCTCACTTTTATATTGAAGAAACAAAAAAACAAAAAGAAAAAACACCAACAATCTCGATTTTTCCAGAGAGAACAGGAACAAGGAAATCTGAGAATTCTGAATTCTATTTCCATTTTCTAAATGAGAAAGACAAGGTTCACCTGCTGTGGACTCAATCATTAGCCCACTCTTCTTCCACGTTCCCATTCAACTCTTGCTCGATATTAAACACACACACACACACCACTTTCCTCTTCCTTCCTCCTCCTTCATTTCTTTTGTTCTTGTTTCTTTCTCACGTTTTGTCTTTCTTTCTTAAATACTTCCACTATTTTTTTTGTTTATTTTCAGGTCACTTTTTGTTGTCTCCCACTCTTTTGTTTCTTTACTCTATCTTTGTGCAACATAAAAAAACTGCTACATATTTTTTGTTGTTGCTGTTTCTCTTTTCTTTCCCGCCGAAATGTTTTTACACTTAAACTTTTTCCAGTGTTTACTTTTACTTTTCCACTTAGTAACTACTAAATGCTTTCTTATGCTTTTTTGTCTTTTCTTTTTGAGACTGCTATAATCTTTTTTTTCTTTCCATTTTCCTAATTGTAAAATCTGGTTTTTATTTATCCTTTAAAAAAATGGTCTTTCTCTCTCTAATTTGTTACTTTTTTTACTTTCTCTTTCTGTGGCTATTTTCTGAAATTTTGTTTGGATTATTCACACACACACACACACACACACACACACACACCGTCTCTCTTCCTCTGCAATGTCGATTTGTTTATCCTCTTTTCTCCTTGTTAAATCTTTCTTTTTCTTTCTATTTTTCATATACAGACCGTTGCTTTTATTTTATTTGTTTTGTTTATTCACTCTCTCTCTCTTGTAATTTCTCTCCGCGCGCTCGCGTGTATGATAATAATATCATCATCACCACCACCTTCTTACCTAAAACAGTTTTTCCTAGGCTTTTCAAAAATATTTTCCCAACCACCGGTTTTTTTTCTAAATTTTATATGTGTGTATGTGTGTACATAACTAGTAGTACATGTGATTATGTTTTTTTGTATATAACACACACACACACATATATCCACACATTTTTATATACTAACTAGCTGTGATGGGGACAACTGATGATTTAAGTTACTCATCAGTTGTCGTCTCACGGGAATGAAAAATTCACTTTCTTAATCGTTTTTTTTTTTGTGCATTGGATCAAAGGGTAGTATCTGTCTTTTCGTATAAAAATTTTATAATAAAATAAAGATGACTACATTGATACGAAGTAAGTTTTTTAAAGATTGGCATAATCAATTGGAGCTGATATGAATTGATGAAGAAATTAAATTACTTTTAGTACTTTTTTGTAAGTTTTGTGTACATATTGTAATCACACCAGAAAGGTGGTTTATACAAAACTGAGAATGAAATAGCGAAGGAAATTGTTATCAATTTATTATCTGTTGGCTTTTAATTTTATCTTTTTAAAAATTTTCTAGAGGACTTCTTCAATATTCCTTTTGATTCGTAATTTATTTTATTTTTCTTGTTTAAGTGCCATGTTTCTTCATAATTCTCCACAGAGAAATTCTCTCACATTATCTGTGAATTGCCGTACAGTTTTGAGAAAGTTAGTGGAGTGGTTCCCCCTTTTTTTTTCTAAGGTTTTGAATTCAGTCTTCCTTCTCCTAGAGTGGTTGCCACTCAAAGCTAGAGAGCCCAGTCTACTCTGCTAAGAGAAGCGACTGATTCTTCCCAAAGTCATTAATGAGAAACTTTGAGCAGAATAGACTAGACTGCAATTTGAACTTATCTCGTTAAATTATCCGTTACACCACCCTGTACATCCATTGTAACTCACTACTCAGGCAAATAAATAAATCTGTAATGTATTACCAGCTGGTCATATGTTTTATATCTGATGTTGAAGGAGGGCATGTTTCAGCTGAGTTAGTTTCATGTTTATCAATTATACCTGTTATCAGGGTTCGATCCCAGGTAAAAAGTCCAAATTTATTTTCAAAGTAGGCATGTTCTTACCACGAAAATGATTGGCAAATATTTCCCGCCACTAAAGGAACCTGAACCGACTTAAGCCGAACTTTATAAACATCTATTTGTTGAATCAAACAAAATGAATTAAAAATTGGAACTACACTATAAGGGAACAACTTGGTTTTATGTTTTTATCCTTTTCATTTCAATACATCGGTATTTCTTTGTATTTGAAGTTTCTGGCAGTTGCATTGTTTCTTTCCCCTCTCCACCCGGTTCTTTTCTCCAACCTTTTACCCAACGATACCCTCCAGGTCTTTGTTACTTCCTTCTTCCATTGTTTAAATATTTCCACTCCCTTTCTCTAAATTCTCTTACCACCACTCTCTTCCCTACCCGCCCTTTTCCTTAAACTGTTTACGTTCTTAAAATCTATCTCCGCCAAACACTCCCCTATCACCCCTCTCATTATATTTCTTTAACAGGTCTTTGTTGTGAATTTTTCATTGTTTTAGTCTTTCATTCCTTTGTCACCCCTGACCTTCTCTCACTCACCCCTCCCAAGACTGGAACAGAATTCCCTCCTCACCACCACCACCAGTAAGAGAAGGATTGGATATATCCTATATTCTTCTCTAGTAATATGTATTTATCAGTCGTTCTTTGTAAATTTATTATACACCCACACAATTACTATGATTAATACTTACCTACCCAACTCTTTGTGTACCTCCGGATTGGTCATTGTTACTCTTCCAGTCTGTAACTATAAAATATTATCCAAATCCATGTATCTGTCTCAGTGCGCGCATGCATATATATATATATATATAGAGAGAGAGAGAGAGAGAGAGAAACAGTACTGAGACATGTATTTACTATATAAAGTCTATCATTAGCCTAGGTGTGTAGCATCAGGAAGAAGATTGTGTTGCACCAATCCTCTAAGTAAGGAAGGCCTGCTTACTTGTAAATTACATCAATTACAAAATAATGGATTTAACCTGGCTGTAATAAGGAATATACAACTAACTCAGCCACCAAGCAGGCATAGATTTGGAGAGATTTTCTTATGAGAAATTTAAGATAGATAAGTAGATGATTTCATAGATATTTTAAAAGTCCTCTAAAATAGGATAAAATAATAATTTTCTGATGATTGGCCAGATTTTGGAAAGTGTGTATATATTTATCATTTATTTACTATTTGATATATAAATTTGAATTTTTATATAGTTGAGGGTGATTATAGGTGTAATGATTTTGTTATAGTTCTTAAACACACACAAATGTAATTTGATACATATTCATATGTATATAGCTTATAAAAAATATATTCTCATAAATATCTGTAATAATATTAATTTGAATAGCATATTTACAAATTATGTAAACATTTAATTCCTGTTAAATACTAATTGAATTAAAACAATATCAATGTTGTAGATGGATGCATCTGTCATTGCTGTGGATATCTTTGATACAACCTAATTATGAAACTTCATTTCCATTAAATTTGATGTTAATACCATTTCTTTTCATTAGTACATTACTATATTTTCAATTTTATTGCATGCAATTTTTAAAAAATGATTCATTTCATTGAATGATTGATTTTGTATTTTAAAAAAGATCACATGAAATATAACATACATCTGGTATTAAATTAAAAATAAAAGTTGATGGTTCATTCATTTATACATGCATGTATAAAAATATGTTTCTCTCTTTCTCATGCACCAAACTACAAATAACAGGATTGTACATTAACCTTTTAACAAAAATGTCATGCGGTTGATATTTCAATGATAATTTACATCATCATTAGAACAACAAAATATTCATAAATTAATTCAGTTTTTATCAATCAACTTAGCAGATAATTACCATTTTATATATATATTATTATTATATATATATATATATATATATATATATATACACACACACACACACACACACACACACACAAAACACAGATCCCATAATAATCTTGTAATTTTTACATATACTATGCTATTACACACACATATATATTTGAGTGACTTATCTTCAAACTCAGTTTCAGACACAGAATCAGACATCAAGGTGTAAGATAAACCTACTGAATTTCAATAATAAATTCAACAGCTAAAAATAAATTTTGTTCATAAATAAGAGACAAATTAAAAAAAATGTACAGAAATATTATATGATGAGTTGGGATCGATCGAAATCTGACAGAATGATATGATAAAGAACAAATAGGAAACTTGATCAATTTAACATGCTTTTATTAAGTATATATGATAATATATATGATATTTTCCTTTAATAAAAGGGAAACATATTAAATTGATAAATGTTTCTTATTTGTATTCTATATATATATATATATATATATATATATATATATATATATATAGTGAGAGAGAGAGTTTATGTAAAGTATGCTATAATTATGGGTAAAAGGATGTAGCAAATATATATACATAAAAGTGGACACTGAGGTCAACACTGAGTGCTGACAGTCTGTTTCATACTTGATGGTAATCTTTTTCCTGAAGAATGCATTCAAGCATAAAACAGACTGTAGACACTCTGTGTTGATCTTAGTGTCCACTTATAAGTATCTCTGTACATATTTTTATTGTTAACTTGTCTCTCCTTTATGGACAAAATTTATTAAGTTTATGCTCTTGACTTTTTGTGA